CCACCCCCACCTCACCCCGTGTCTCGACTTCACCCTGTGACTTCTACCCGTGCAGGCTACTTCGGCAAGTACTTGAACAAGTACAACGGCTCGTACATCCCGCCCGGTTGGCGCGAATGGGGAGGGCTCATCATGAACTCGAGGTACTACAACTACTCCATCAACTTCAACGGCGAGCGGATAAAGCATGGTGACGACTACCACAAGGTGAGCAGGGGCGCTTCGCCACGCCGAGGATGCGACGCTAGCCAGGCGCGGAAACGTTCGGCACCCATCAGACCTGATCTGCCACATGCACGCGAGGTGCATGCGACAGAGGGACATTAGGCGACATATGGCGCAATGTTCCCTCACGTCAGCGTAGATGAACAAAGCCTCCGGGTGGAGTCATGGCCGATGGGTGGCGAACGTTTTCTCTCGCGTCGCCTTGCACGAGTATCGTGGCTGAGGGGACGTTCACTGGGGGGGACACCTTGACATATCGAACTTTAACTCCGGCAGGACTATTACCCCGATCTCATTGCCAACGACTCGGTCAACTTCCTGCGCGAGTCCCGCCAGTACTTCCCCCGCGAGCCATTTGGCCTCGTCCTCAGCTTCCCCGCGCCGCACGGCCCCGAGGACTCGGCCCCGCAGTACAAGGACATGTTCTTCAACGTCTCCACACACCAGTAAGTGTTGAGCTTTGAGGTTCCGAGAGCCCCTGTCATGCTTGGGGTAGGCAGCCCACCCGGCGCTGCAGCGGGCAAGGCGGCCTACCACGGCCTCCCCCTCCTGGCTCTGACTCCCCCGGCCCACTCTGTTGCAGCACGCCGACGTACGACTACGCGCCCAACCCGGACAAGCAGTGGATCCTGCAGGTGACGGGGAAGATGAAGCCGATCCACCGCGAGTTCACGGACCTACTGATGACCAAGAGGCTGCAGACCCTGCAGAGCGTGGACGTTGCGGTGGAGCGGGTCTACAACGAGCTGGAGGCCATGGGTGAGCTGGACAACACCTACATCGTGTACACGTCGGACCATGGCTACCACCTCGGCCAGTTCGGGCTCGTCAAGGGCAAGTCATTTCCCTTCGAGTTCGACGTCCGGGTGCCGTTTCTGGTCCGTGGGCCCGGTGTGGAGGCAGGCGCGGTCGTGGACGAGATCGTGCTGAACATCGACCTGGCGCCGACGTTCTTGGACATGGCGGGTGTTGTTGCACCGGCGCATATGGACGGCCGGTCGTTCCTTCGCTTGCTGCAGCTGCGCGGGAGCCGAAGGCGCAAACGCCTGCGCTGGCCGGACACCTTTCTCATCGAGAGGTAAAAGAACTTCCCTATTGGCCGGACCGGAGGCTGGCCCAGACTAACGCTAACGTCACCCGCGCTCCTTGTTGTTTCCTGTTTACAGCAGCGGGAGGCGTGAAACTCCGGAGTCCGTGACTGAGGCCAGGCACAGGTGGGAGAGTTTCCAACACAAGTCGATGGGAGGAAACACCAGTCTAAGTTCGCCTTCGTCAAGCACCACAGCAAGACCGACGACTGCTGCGGCTGATACTAGTCACGAAGAGGACGGATCCGAGGAGGCGGCCAACACCGACGAGGAGGAGAACGAGGAGGATCAAGAGGAGGAGGAGAATGATAATGACGATGACTCAGTGAATCACAAAACAAATAACTCATTAATGAGATCGCCTCAAGAGGAGTTTCTAAGCCGTTCCCGTAAGTCAATCCATCCAGATTAAATTTTTTTTGTAAGTCTATGTCTACTATCATAAATGCTACATTTGATTTTTTGCCAATTTCTTATTTATAGAGACTGATTTGCAGCTGGACAACCGAGTTGTACCTGTTCTTCACCCTGCAGAGCACACAACTCCATCAAAACATGAACGCTTGGCTTTGGAATGCAAGCGCCCTGAAATGCAAACTCCGTGTCGGTTTGGTCAAAAGTGGCAGTGCATTATGGAGGGAAACAGGTGGCGCAAGCACAAATGTAAATTTGAAGGATCTCTTCTATTCCGTTCCTCTCTCTCACGGGACACTAGTGGAGGCAAGAGATGTGCTTGCTTTACTCCAACAGGCATACTCTACACAAGATCTGAACCAGAAGATAGACACTCTCAGAAAGCTTCATCCAGGTAAATGTTGGGAAATACAAAATATTGTAAAAGACATTAGCTTTCATATGATCTAATTGAATTTAAACATTACATTTATGTTTCCTTGGTATTTAGGAAAGACAAAGACAGTAAGAATTTTAAAATAAGATTTGGACACCTTGCACAGTCAGAGGATGTTTTATCAACTCATCGCTGGAAACGCAACACAGCATCAGCCTACATCAACCCCACCCAAAGTCTTCATATCTCACAAGGGCTGGCTGAGCGATTTCAATCAAGTTTCACAAGAATTAATCGTTCAAAACGACAAACTCTAGAGCCCCTTGATCATGTTGTCACCATTATGGAGGACATCAAGAAAGAAATGCTTAGTTTGGAGGTATGTGGTTAAGTTGTGCAATCACATGTTCTATTAATGATTTTTTAACATCATTATTAAATATATTTTAACTCCACAGCAAGCTTCAGCTAAATCAAAAACAGATGATCTGCTAGTAGATGAAGACAGAAATAAGACTGCAGCAACACCAGATTGCACAGTACAATCAGCTGGTGGTGTAGATTGTAAATATGCAGAGTACACAGATCCAAAAGTATGGAGAGCTCACAGAGAAAAAATTGATGAACAGATACGTAATCTGCGTGCTCAATTAGAAGGTCTCAAGGTATGGTTTTACTCATTACCCAGTCCTTGCTCATATAGTACAATATAAGTTTATAGCTTGTATATGCAAAACACTGTGTGTTGTTATTATACAGGAAATTCGAAGGCATTTGAGAGAGAAAAGGCCACATCTATCCACTTCTCACATGGAGGCTAAAGATGATATTGGTAATGGAGAAAATTTCAATGGCAAATCACAAAGTTCATGGCATCTCAAGCATCACAATCATCGCCAGCACCATGGAGAGAGTCACAATCATCGAAGGGGTCGCCCTAGCCAAACTAACATAAGTACCCACATCTCCCAGGATTCAATTAATAGTTATGCTACTGGGAACAGGTCAACTACACTCAGTACATCAGATTCCTCTTTGACTCAAAATTTAAAGCAAAACCAGCCAATTGAAAGAAATTTAGAAAATAGAAATACTATGACTAATGGATGGGCAACAGATCCTAACTCTGGACAACCTTGGGCTGTCGGGATTACTCCAGGGCTATCCTCTACAAATCCGAAGAGTAAGGTAAGGACTATCGGCATGATGGAAGACTTTTCACTGAGAAAAGAAGAAACAAAACAGTGACGTGTATTCATTCTAACTTTATCTTGAGGTGACCTGTGACCTATTAATAACATTCAATTTTATTTCAGACCTTAAATAAAAGTGGAATGAATGCCTCTCCAGGAAGAATTGATGTTACAGTAATACGGCCAGCTGGTGGAAATAGAAAACCGCTAATTCCAGTATATGAATCACACGAGCAGCATACCTGCTATTGTGAACCTGATATGTATGGATAGCTTTACATATTATGTGTAGATTCAAAAATTTAAACAAAGTTTAATGTATTTTATATTTTTTAGGTCCCCAAAACAAAAAGAAAAGGAAGCAGCTCGTCGTGATCGATGGAGAGTCAAAGAGGAACGTTTGAGAAAAAAAGAGAGGAAGCTTAAAAGAAAGGCAAAGATGGAGAAAGAATGTTTATCAGAACGCATGAATTGCTTTAACCATGACAATGATCATTGGAGAACGCCACCTTTATGGACATCTGGTCCATTCTGCTTTTGCATGAATGCCAATAATAATACATACTCATGCATCAGAACAATAAATGTTACCCATAATTTCCTTTACTGTGAATTTGTCACAGGTCTCATCACTTATTATAAT